ACTCATGCGGAAGTGGCTTTAGCTTCTTAGTGCTGTGCTTTAACCCGCTGCGCCACCAGGGAGGGCCCGGGGCCCTGTTTTTTAATGTATCTTTTAATGACTGCATAATATCCCATCACCGAGAGGTGCTACGATTCTCGATTCTCGTAACATCCTATTGCTGGACATTTAGGGTAAACAGTGCTCAGTCACGCTCTACTGTGTCCCTAGCCAAGAGCTGGGCTTGTGAGCTGGGGCTCCCTGATGAGAAATGGATACAAAATAAATGATAGAAAATGAAGTCTAGAACTACCCTGTGGTGGTTAGTTAGGAGATCAATGAATAATGAAAAATACAAAAAAGACCCCACTCAGGTAGATGTGCGTGTGTCTGGGTCTGTGTCCGTCTGCAGCAGGAGGGGACCGCGGGGCCGCGGCCAGAGGCAGGCAGTGACCCGTTTGTGGGGACCCGAGGCCTCTGATCCCAGCAGGTGTGGGTGCGGGCGAGGGTCCCGCTGACTCTCGGCCTTGCCGCCCCCCGCCTGGCCCCGCAGACTCTTCCAGCTGGAGTCGGAGGCCGAGGCCATAGTGAACTTCCAGCAGTACTGCGCCCAGCTGCCGCCCTTCTACGAGAGCTCCGCCCACGTCCTGCAGGCCGAGGTCCTGCAGCACCTGACCGACCTCATCCGCAACCACCCCAGCTGGTCGGTGGCGCACTTGGCGGTGGAGCTGGGGATCCGGGAGTGCTTCCATCACAGCCGCGTCATCAGGTAGGTGGGGCGCCTGGCCGGGCGGGGCAGGAGGGCCGGCAGGTGGGTGCAGGTACAGGGGTGCTGCCAGGCCAGCCTCGGTTCCCCTCTGTGACCACAAAGGCTGCCCAGGGTCTGACTTCAGCACGAGCACCTTGCCCCGGGTTCGCACAGGGAAGCTGACAAGTCAGAAGGCGAGAGCCTCCCTGGTGCTGAGGGGTTAAGTCTCAGCGCCACCACAGCTGCAGCCTGAGTCCACCCGGCCAGGAGCTGGCCCCCAGGGCGCAGCAGACCCCTCCCGTCTCCCCGCTGGCCCCTCAGCAGTGCATTTCTGTAGATCCACCTGTTCTACTCCCCACTCTGTCTTGTGAATCCCCTTAACCCTCACATCTCTGGCCTGCACCCAGTTCTACGTCAGAAAGAGAGAGAACGTTTCTGCAGGTCAGGCCCCGGGAGCTGTTTGACCCCCACCCTGAGCTTGCACCCCCCACACCCCCATGAAGAATCACCCCCAGGGAGTACGCGTGTGGCCCGTGCAGGGGAGGAGGCGGGTGAGGCCTCCACCCTGGACGTCTCCTCCCGGGGCGGCCCTCCCGGGGGCTGGGACTCCCGCTTTCACATGGCCCTTCAGCCGGTGCACATCCGTGCGGGAGCCCCCGGGGGTGCTTGCTGGCTGCTGGCCGGCTGCTGGCCCGGGCGGGTGGCCACACCTCTGCTTCATGGTACAGATCGCCGTGCCCCGGCCCCCAGTGTGAACTGCTGGCTTGAGCCTGGCGTGGACGCTCTGCCGTCCGGCCCTCTGCTCGCCTGCCTCCCCCTCGGGCCGGGCACTCACCCGCCCCCCACAGCTGTGCCAACAGCAGGGAGAATGAGGAGGGCTGCACGCCGCTGCACTTGGCCTGCCGCAAGGGCGACGGGGAGATCCTGGTGGAGCTGGTGCACTACTGCCACGTGCAGATGGACGTCACCGACAACCACGGGGAGACCGCCTTCCACTACGCCGTGCAGGGGGACAACGCCCAGGTGCTGCAGGTGAGCGGCGGGTCCCGGGCTCAGGTGGGCTGCGGGGCCTCTTGCTGTTGCCCCTTTGATCCCGAGTCTGAACCCCTTGGTGGTGCGCGATCCCCGATCCGAAATCCCACCTCTGTGCCTGCCTGGCCGAGTATTTGGCCCGGGCCAGCCTCCAGCCCAGCGCAGAAGCCAAAGGCCCCGGCCGCGGGTGGGCACTGAACTCCCGCGGCCCCCCTGGAGCACCGAGGGGCCCCCGAGCTACCTTTCTGTAGGAACTGAAACCACCCCACCGGCCAGCCTCGCCTGGGCAGAGCCAGGAAGATAGAAACGGGGACCAGGAGAAGAAGGGGTGCTGTTAAAAGGCTGCACATATTAGAGAGAAAAGGGAGCCTATCCTCTGGACTGCCTGGGCTGGAGGATTCTCCTTGGGCTGTAGCCTGCCCTTGGCTCCAGTCTGTGATGCTAAGACGAGCCCGAGGCCGCGCCCCCCGCGGGTGCCCGGTGCCTGCGCCCAGCCCCCCCAGGCCCGCCGGGCAGCGTACCCCAGATCGCTGGGCCACGAGGGAGAAACAGGGCCCCCTGGGTGTCTTTAGGGGCCGCACTGCTTGCACACAGGAAGGGATGTGGTGAAAGCGGCCGTCACCCCCCACCCCTGCCCTGATCTCATGGGGTGGAAGCTCCCCAGCCCTGGGGTCCCCAGAGGGAGCCCTGCGGCCGCGTGGGGGCGGGGCCGCTGGCGGTGACCGCAGCCCCCTCGGCGCTGCCAGCTGCTGGGGAAGAACGCCTCGGCCGGCCTGAACCAGGCGAACCAGCGCGGCCAGACGCCGCTGCACCTGGCCTGCCAGCTGGGGAAGCAGGAGATGGTCCGCGTGCTGCTGCTGAGCAACGCCCGCTGCGGCGTCCCGGGGCCCGGCGGCTACCCCATCCACACGGCCATGAAGTTCTCCCAGAAGGGGTGAGTCGG